TTCCCCCCCCCCCCCCCCCACTCCAATTCAGTACCAGTTTGTTTGGCAAGAGGTATTAAAGATATGCCCCATGGCACTGCTTGTGGTCTGGTCTGGCACATGCTGCATGACTCAGAGCCAGGTAAGTTTGATGCCCCTAGTCTCAATCATTCAAACATGTAGGAGGGTAACTTAAGAACTAATCACAATGCCATCTTCCAAATTTACCTTCGTAATAAAGGTTTGTCATCTTCAGTAAAGAAAGTGAGTGCTTTTCCCGTATGTCCTGCTCTCCCAGTCCGACCTGTCGAAGACCAATCGTGCAGAGAAAATTGCAAGTTTTTATTCTTTTTCCAGGAACTTCAGGTCACTCTCCACTAACCCACACCACAGATCTGTTAGTATGCCCCAGCAGTTTAGACTCAGCCACACTGTCCCTACTGCACAGAAGCTGCAAGCATGTAGGCTCTAAAAGTACTTTACAAACAAGAATTAAGTCTATTTAAGAGATTTTTATGAGGCACGTAACCCAGTTTGGCAGAGGTGAACTGAGGCGTGAAGTAGGTTAAATGACATAGACACAGACGCCCTCCCATCACAGCCAAGCTAATCCAGGAGTCCTCACTTCCAAATTTCTGCTTTAGCACACCCAACGCAAAAGCTAATTGAGAGAGAGAGAGGGGGGAACCAAAGCACTGCTTTGTTTTTGGGGCAGGGGAACACTTACCTATCCTGTGAATATATTCCACAGCACTGGTTGGGAAGTCATAGTTAATGACCATATTCACTCCTTTGAAGTCAATCCCTCGGGCCAGCAAGGCCGTGCATATAAGCACCCAAATCTTCCCAGCTCTAAAACTGTGCACTATGTTATCTCTCTGGTAAATAAAAATTAGTGCTTTGTAAGTAAGTGACCTAATAATAAGCAGCTTGAGCTCAGAAGTGCATTTATGCATTGAAAGCAGCAAACATTGAGACACTGAACAGTAAAACCCAACTCAGGTCTTCCATACAAAGATCACGTATTGCAAAACCCTTGCCGCCCTCCCATCAATTGCATAAGGATAGTCTAGTTTTGAAGACAACTTCCTACATGGTTTCTGAGAAAAAAAACAAACAGGGAATACTATTATTATGTCTTCCTACCTGCTGCTGCGTTTTGTCAGCATGGATAACATCCACATTGATACCTTCATAAATAAGCTCATGGAAAAGCTCTTTAGCCCTTTCGATGGACTGCACAAAAACAAGTACAGGAGGCGTGAAACCCTGCAAAAGAACAAGCGCAAGTAAGGCTCAAGTCATTTTCCTCTCTGAATTCACTCCAGTGCTACCATGGATTTAATTAGCTTGCATGCTTTACATTTCAAAGGGCGGTTTTTGCCTAACAAAACTCTTGGGGCCTGGATTAAGCAAATTCAGTTCTAGTGAGTTGGATGGAGTTACACAGGATTTAGGCATCAGAACTGAATTTCACCCACAGAAAGCAAGATACTAAATGCAGAAAAGCTACCAGAGCAAATACATGACTTCAAGGGGAGACTGGGGTGCGGGGCTGGGAGACAGAGAGAAACACCACACTGAGAAGTAAAATTTATCCATAGTAAATGGTCTAAATTCCGCCTCATCTTTCCAGCTCAGACACAAGATAGTCTAACTCAGACCCATGCAAAGGGAAAGCCTTCCAGTTTTCACTGGCAGGCTACATTTGCTTTTACTTAGGCACAGCACGTCTCATATATCAGCAAACTTAATAGGTTTTGTCCTGACAGATATGACCCAGGAAAGAATGCGCCTCTGGCAAAATGTACAGCAAGCAAGAATGAGAAGTTCAGTCATTTCACAACTACCTTTTTAACCAGTTCTCTCACTGCCAGCAGCTTTCCTGTCTCCGATCCAACAAACAAGAGCTCTTGTTCCACTGTCTCTGCTGCAGAGTTTCTGAAACCAAAACCAAGTTGCAGCAACAAGCCGCTGTTAGTATTTTTCAAGATAAAAATGTTCACTGCTGAAAGGGAAACATGACAAAATGAAGAGATTTCACATGTCCACCCTCCTGTATGTGGTAACACCTGAATAAACAAACAGACTCAGAATAAAAGGGCACTTTCCCCATGCTGTATGAAAAATCACCCTCATGCCTGTAACACGCTGCCACACAAATCCAGCTATTCAGATGGCTGAAAAAGTGGCCTTCAGATTAACATCTGAGGGATTCCAAACTAAAGAAAGGAAAGATGTAAGTAGGTGCCTGCCCACATGGAGGCAGACAGCTGACTAGACACAAAAGAAAATCCCTGTAGGTGGAAGAGTGAGAAAATGTTGCTGCTCACACACCTTGCTCCAACTGACACCAAAATGACATTATCCAGGTTGAGTTTACACCACTGCTCTACATCATGTGCAAAAGTTGCGCTGAACATAGCTCTTTTGATGACATGAGATGTGCAAGCCAGGAAGATGGAGGCCAGCTGGTCACGGAACCCTGACTTCCCATCTTCAAAGAGTTTGTCCGACTCGTCCACCACCAGCCACTCAACCCTGAGAAGAGCAAAATGTTTTCTGTTCAATGAAAGCAACTTTCAGGGGAGAAAGATCCTACAAGAGCATGGCAGCTTTAGGACTGAACAGATACTAAATCTATACTGCAGAGAAGTAATGAATATAAGCAAAACTCAGTACCTGGTCAAATCTATTGCTGGAGGATCTTGTTTTAGTAAATAAATGAGTCTGTTTGGAGTGGTCACTAGCACATCTACAGGAAAAGCAAAACTGTATTAGGGACACAGAAAAACAAGCCAGGTTTAAATAAATAACCAATATGATCTAGCAATGAAAGCACAGACGCTAAAGCCAGGAGCTCTAATCCTCAATTTGCTGAGAGTTCCTAGGGCAAGTTACTTCATTTCCCTGTGGTTCTGGTGACCTTACCTGTAAAATGAGCTATTTTGTGTTTTTGTTATTTTCCTTACATTTAAGGGTGTTGTAAGGATTCATTAGCTCTCACATGTTCTGTTAGGTATTGTTCGACAGATATATGCAATGGCTATCGAGATTCCAAAAACAGATTCAGTTACACTACATTAATAAAGTTAGCACAATAGCAAGTGGTTGTCACTTTTTGCTTTGAATGACCAATCTCAGATGCATGGCAGTATTCCAGCACTTCAAAAGTGCCACCATACAGCCAAATCAGCAGCACATTTGGAATGTTTCTGACCTCTACACACTAGCTGCTTTGCCAGTGTTTGAGTGGCATTTGTTTTATACAGCAGATGAAGATTTGCCTTCATGAGTTATACCCCATTCTCTTTCAACCATTGGGTTTTAAGGATTTTTTAAAATGTCATGGAGACAAGTGTCCACAGGACTTTGCGAGATGATTTCAGTGACAAACACTAAATGTATTGGCCCATTTAAAAATTCATATACACTCTAAAAGTTGCTTTGAAAGTTTCAAGTTTTTGAGAGAATCTCTGAAGTAGTGAGAATGCTTACCAAACTTCTGAGATGATTTGGGCCCAAACTTCTTGGCTGCTTCAGCTGCTTTATGGATCATATGTATTCTGAAGCCTGTTCCCTCAGACAACTTTACCAGCTCTCTGTGTGTCTAAAATACATGAGCAATTCAAGATCAAAGTTCCTAGCATTAGCTACACAAGGACATCTTTAGGAATCAAAAAAACCCACAAGTCCTCTTGCACAGTTTGGCATTTACAGACTAAAAACCCACTCAGAAAAACAGGCAGTCCTAACATCTGCTGAGCTGAAGTTTAAATTGAATTTTAAACTAGTCTCAGGAGTAAAGTCCTGGTGGTTCCCTGATCCAACCATACCTTTACATTTCTAGGCATTACTATTACATTACTAGGCAACTCAAAACTTTATTCAGGAAAAACACCTCAGTGGACAGGATAGAAAAGCACATCCACCAAGTTCCTGTTTTCCTGCCTCAGAACAACACAGGTGTTTCCAAGTCTGCCAACTTTAAAAAAAGAATCCTACTTGACTAGCAAGTTCTCTAGTAGGAGAGATGATCAGTGCTCTAAATCCTTTGTTCATCGGTTGTTTCAGATGTGTTAAGATAGGAATGCTAAAAGCCAAGGTCTTCCCAGATCCAGTAGGAGCTGAAGCCAGGAGTTCCCGACCCTATGGGTATAAAAATCAATACAAAAACAGTGAGCATTTAAATTTAGGCTTTTTTTAAATGCAAAAGGCTGCATGAATGCAAACAGGAAGTTATAAAATGAAGAGATTCCAAACTATTCTTTGTTACACAAAGCATCATATAAGACAAGCTGACTTACATGAAGCATGACAGGAATGGCTTGCATCTGAATTGGCGTGGGGACCTGGAAGCCAGCAGATTCAACGTTCTGCATTATTTTAGGGTGGATTTTATACTCCTTTTGAAGTTGCTCAAATGTGGCAATTGGTTCAGGAAGATCTGTACCTTGCACATTAATCTTGTACTTGTTTCGGAAATGGTTTATCTAGAAGGCAAGATGTACATGTTTTTCAAAACATCAGGAGCATGGCCTTTTATCAAAGTCAAAGAAGTCATCACCTAATACTTTGACAGAACATTTATATTGGGGGGGAGGGGGGGGAAATCAATTAACTTTACGTGGTACTGTTTTTACACATGTGAAAGCATGGCAGGACCAAGATGACCCAGTAAAAACCAGTGTCTGACACCCAAGTCCTAACCCTGTATTCTAACCATGAAATCATGCTCCCTCCTCCAGTGCTTTTTAAGCAAAGCTAAACCTCTATGCTTTTTACAAGCATTTCCCAGGAGAGAAAAAAACACCTTCCAGAATAGTTGCAAATCTTGCCATTTTATGCTCTTCTTTATTTACATCTGCTGCACTACTTATAACGGTAAGGGCACATAGACAAGTGACTGCAAGGTAAACTATGGCAGAGATTTACAGGAAAAGGAGTTGCTCTGTAGTAAGTATCTATGTGGATGCTCCTATCCCATGGTACGTGAAAGCTCACTTGTACCAGCTTCCCCTCAACCAAAATGCTGCTGTCCCAGGTTACAGTGCAGTATTTCATTCATGTGTCCATGCCCTAAAAACCCTAATTCTGGAAAAAAAAAAAACTTACCCATATTATTAATAAAGCATATAGGAATAATGCCACTGAAGTCAGTGGAAGTACCTCGCACACTAAATTCAGAACTCCAGCATCCTTTGTAAGATAAGAGACGAGGTTTAACTTGCTTTATATGGCAGAACAAAGATCCATTTGCTGATTACTGTTTCATGTTATACAATCTTCAACTCAAAGATGCACAAATAAACACAAGCATTTCATCTGAAAGTTGTGTCAAATTAACATATAGCTCTTGGAGTACAAGCAAATATATCTAGCTCACCTTTTCCTGTCTGAGCTGTTCCAGTTTTTCTGCAGTGGGTTTCTTTTCTCCCATTTCTCTTGTATTTTTAAGCTTTGCTTCCAACGAGGACATCCACAATATCCCATCATTTTCAGGAAGTTCCGACGCAGAAATAGTTTCTAAAAGGTTCAAGAAATGTGCATTTCAAAAAAAGGAGTAATGAAAGGAAAATTCATGGATGAGTCAACTGGGGTAGAATCAGATGCCTAAGCCTTAGTTCTGTGCCATGTCAGAATTCATTTGCCCTGGAGCAGGCCAGCTAAATAAACTGTCAAGCTTCCTCTAGCCAGTAGTACAGCTTGCAATGGCGACTCCAATGGCGCCACAACCTCAACCAAGCAGCAGCCCATTTCAAGGTAAAGCATCTGCTCTCAAAGCAGAGAAGAGAGGAGTGGAGGAAGGAAGGGCAGAGGAATACCAGCCTGCAGTCCATCTCCCCTGCACAAAGGCCTGCAACTTGTGTGGACAGATCTGTGGCTCACGGATTAGACTTTTAAGTCGTCTCAAGACCCATCAGTCAGCTGTGGCAGAGCTCATCCTCGATTCAAGGGAGTGATGACGAAAACAACTTGCAATTGCTGTAGATTGGTGGTACAATGTTACCCACAATTAAAGTTAATTCTTATCAGAATTAATTTATAAAACTGTGCAAGTGCTAGGGTATTTGAGGGGTATGAAAAATGACAAAGGTCCCTGACCACAGAATCTTATTAAACCTATGGAAAAGCAGCAGCTGAAAGTAAGGATAAAGTGATACAACCAGAACTCGTTGAACATCTTTCAAATAACATGGTAAGTAAATATTTTTCTCTTTGCAAGAGTCCTGGGTTTCTTTTTTGTTAATATAGGCAGTCCTCAACTTACAACATTTTGAGTTACGTTTTGCACTTACAACATTTATAATTTGACACCCTGTTTCAACTTTCTGACATCAGTTTTGACTTTACAACACTTGATCTGACGCCATGCCACACCAGTTAACAAGTTTGCTGCGTTGCCCATCTCCCTGGGACACTTTCTTTAAGAAAGCAGATAAGACTCCAGAAAAACCTGCAGCCAAGGCTCCTGAGAAGACTCCAGCCACGAGCACTTCAAAAAGTCCAAAGTCACCTCAAAGAAGTCCTCCCAAATCAATATAATTGCTATTTACAACATAAATACATTAATGTAGCTATATTACTCACCTATGACTGACTGAGAACAAAATTCTGGGTTATTTTTGGTGCAAATAGGGTATTGGGCCTTGGTTCAGGAACCAAGCCCCCATTCACAACATTGTTTCCTATGGGAAAATCGGTTCCAACTTACGACATTTTGACTTAAGATGCATTTTTCAGGAACCAATTGTGTTATAAGTCTGAGGACTGCTTATAATTCAAATCAAGCACTAGGTGTTTGTATTGGCAAATCTAGCATTTCCTCACAGTGTCAGATTTGTCCCTGCTGTTCTAGTTCTGGAGGTTTAAGCACATCAAAGGGAAAAGTTTCCCTACCTGAGGTTTTCTTCTTTTTCTTCCCCCTGGAACTCTCACTTTCTCTTGTTCTCTTCCTTTCGAGCCCTAAAAACATAAGAACACAAGAACTGCCATTTACTGAGTCAGACTATAGGTCCATCTTACCCAGCATCTCTTCAGTGTATTTTTACTGCTTTTCATGCCAAACGCATAAACTATTGAATCTGAAGCTTTGATAGTGTAAAATTGGAACTTACTACACAAGTGCCAACCATCCTATAATTTCCTCTAAATTTACTTAAGTGTGTAGACTGCCTTCTTGCTCAAAGGGAGCATTGACTGTTGCTGCTATAACCAGTATTGGTCTCCAGCAGGTTCTCCCAAGATGTGACCAAATGTATTAGTTTGGCTCTGGTGAAATTCTTCTCCCTTCTAGGGCTTGCACTAGATTCTAACCACCACTTAAGTCCATTTGCACCGAGTAGAGCGGCCTCTTCGTATGGTTGAATTTCACCCTATCGACAAACTGAAATTGCATGCCTCAAATACGTAAACTAAAACATGCACATATCTTATATGGGAGCTGATACTGTGTATTTTGCAACTGTGTACGCAACTGTGGATTTCCTCCAAATGCGAATGTTTGAAGGAGCTTCATTTTGTGGTACGGGGAGCAGGGGATGGGTTAGTCAGGGACGATCCTGCCTTGCGCAAGGGGTGGGGACAGGACTAGAAGACTTTGTGAGGGCCCTTCCAGCTTTACTTTCCTATATTTCCTATATATATTTAGGAACAGAAATACAGTTCTCAGCTAAAACGTGGTCTTAGACCACACATGCATCTGATTTAACAATGGTGAACCGAGACCTCCAGGGCAGATTTTGGTGCTGACGATGGGGAAGGGGGCTAACAAGACTGGGATGCTGCGATGTTACCCCTTTGCCGCTAGGACGTGCTTCCAGATTCATTTTCACATTTAAGGCTGCAGGGAGCTGTTCCCCCAGGCTGGAGGCGGCATTTGAATGGGGGAGGGAAGCAAGGGGACTGGAACAAGCTCAGACCTCCATCCCGCTGCCCATACCCCTTCCCCCCACCCCAGAAGCCGCCATCTGACTCAACCGTGGGCTTCCCGACCCAACCTGGTGACTCCGCAGCAGGCGTCCAGGCTGCAGCGCCGTCTGTCCCAGGGGTACTCAGGGGCCCAGTCTCACGCACGCTGAAGAAGTCCAGGCTGGCGGGGGCCACCGAGCCCGGGCCGGGGCCTTTCACCACCTGGAAGGGAGGGAGGAAGGGGCAGGGCTGTCAGTCGCCGGCCGGCAGGGGCCCGGGATCAGGAGATCAGGGCCTCCCCCACCGCCCGCCGCCCCCTCACCCCGAAGCGCCGCGCGTCGCGGCTGAAGCGCTTCACGTCGAAGCGGGCGCCCGCGCCCAGGCGGCGAAACAGCGCGTGCGAATCCATCTTCTCCCGGCGTGCACCGCGCCACCCGGCGTGCACCGCGGCAGCAAGCACCCCTCAGTCCGCTTGGGAAAAGCGTCCCAGCCTCACGCCAAGGAGGGGCCGGAAGTAAACCGGCACTTCCGGCCTCCCGGGGTCAAAAGGGGGCGGGGGAGGGGGGGCCGCGCTGTCATGGCAGCCAGGCAGCCTGTAAGAGTGAAGCGGGAGCCTAGCCCTGGAACCGCCTCTCTGCTCCCCCCCCCCGCAGCGTGACGTCATAGCACGGTGCGATAAATATCAATGTATGTTTATTTTTAGATGCAGAATAAATAGAGAGAAATATAGAGATATTTATTTCTATATATAGAAATATATATTTTATCTATATAAATACATATCTAGTTATTTCTATGTATAGAAACTTATATATCTATATAAACATCTATTTCTATGTATAGAAATATGTTATATCTATATCAATAAATATCTAGTTATTTCTATGTATAGAAATAAATAGCTATTTCTATATATTGGAATAAATAGCTATTTATTTTGATGTATTCCTGTGTAGGAAAATGTATTTCCATATATAGAAACATCTGTTTATTTATATAGGTATAATATAGCTATATATTTCTACATAGAGAAATAAATTTCTATTTATTGCATCATGCTATGACATCATGGTGTGGGGGCACTGAGAGGGGGTTTCAGAAATGATATAGAAATAAATCTAGAGAAATAAATATTTTTGCAAAAGGAAGGGGATGCAATAGCTCCTGATGATGTCATAGTGCGGGGGCACTGGGAGGAGGCTTCAGAAATAGCATAGAAATAAATATTTTCCTCCCCAAAAGTGATGCAATCGCACCTGATGACATCGTGGTGTGGGGGCACCAGGAGGGGGTTTCAGAAATAATATAGAAATAAATATATAGAAATTATCACGTTTGCAAAAAAAAAAAAAAAAAAAAAGTGATGCACTAACTCCTGATGATGTCGGTCAACCCAGCCCACCAAAGCTGGTCCCCCCCACGCATATATTACTCAAGTTAGTCTGAGCAGTGCCTCGGCCCTGGTAGGGGCTGTCCTGTCGCAGTTGCAAGAGGACGCTGGTCCCAGGCCACTGACACGCTGACAGTGCTGGTTTAATGCAAGGCTGCTAAAGGCCCCTGCCACACATGACTTACATTATGCAATAAATTTAAACCGGCCCCACATGCAAAATAATGACTGCACCATAAACAGGTCCATCCAGCAACACAAAGAGCCAACCGGCTGGAAAGTTCACGCTTGGAAATGGGTAGCAACTTCGCAGCCAGTTTCCGCCCCGCTTTCACCGAGCACGTGGCGCAGCCCAAAGAAACGCCCCGATGTATCCGACAAGCGGTCCAGAGCGTCTGCGTCAGCACGATGTGGTGGTCCCGAAGTGGCGCTGTGTGGGACTCAAGGGTGTCATATTAAAACATCAAGTTCACGCGATCACAGAGGTGACACGATGCCTTTAACATGCTAAACGTAGGTCTGAAAAGAACGCCAAGCTACTGGCACAGTTTTCCTCCCTGTGGCACCCATTGCAACTGGAGTGTTTCAATTCATAATCTACATCACTTTCCTTTCTTCAGAGATACGACAGAAACGACATCACTTGTTTGAGAAGCTTCAGGTTCTTACCAGGAACTTTTAGAGGGGCCGATTCCCGCCTGTGGCTGTCCGTGTATATCAGCGCCACAGGGTGGCACTACGGCTATTAAAAAGGATTATATCGCCTTGTACCCAGCTGCTTTTCAGATTTGGACCTATTTTAATATTCCTCCCTCCAGGAAAACTTTTGCAACTTCGGAGAGCAAGCCCCCGCACAAAAATAAAACCAAATTGTGGAACTAATATGGTGTTTGCTGAGTATCTGAATTTTCACTGCTTCTGGGTTGTCTCCCTTCCTCCTCGAGTTGGTGTTTGTCTTCTGTATTTTGACGGTGGGCTATTTATGGCAAAGTTTGTGCGGTGTTAGGTAAACGGGATCTCCGCTCTCTGCTGGCAGTACTTGCAGTACGCCCTATTATTACTCCTGATGATAATGTCAGAAGTTTGATTTCTTCCATGTGACAGGGGTGTGGGTTGCAGCCGTGTTGGTCTAAGGACAGGGGCAGACAAGGTTCTGATCTGATCGCTTTCGTTAGACCAACTTAAATAGTTGGAAAAAAAGCTTTAACAGTCTTTCTAATAAAAAAGAATGTCTGCCAGAAGCTTGATTTGTCATTTATTCATTTAGACTAATAATGTACAAGATCAGATCAAATTTTTTTTGGGGGGGGGGGGGGG